AGAAAAGTAGGAACAAATCGAATCCCAAGTCTAATTCTTATTTTCAAACCAACATACATTGCCAATACATGGATGTATTAGCAATGCATCGGCTTAGCTGTTTTACCGAAGAGGCACAATCGATCGTTCAGAATAATACGAATCTGCGTCCATCCGGATCTACAATTGCCTCGGCATCCATCGGTTCTCCAATAAATAAAGATGGCGTCAAATTCACAGCTTCGCCTAATGAAAATTGTACTCGCCAAAGTAAACTGTTAGTACCCAGATGAGTTCAATTTAGACATTAACACTATTGCTGCGGATGTACCGGAAGAGAATACCCATGGATAAGGGGTAAGTAAAGAGGGAAATAAAACATGACCACAAATGTCAGTTTAGCACCTGCCCGTAAAGTACACTTAAAACTTTCGTTAGACGGCAATCAAACGATATATGAAGTGCGAAGAAATAAAAAGACAGCATTTTGAGAGGTCCCGTGCAGGTGTCAAGATGGTCTAGAGAATATTTGTGAAAACCGCTGCATCTAAAAAGCTGATTTATCAAACGTGATGACACGATGTAGTCATCCTGAAGTAGTCCAAGGAACATGACAGGGGAGCAATATAACCAGTGGAAAGTTATGCATGAAATCAAAAAATTAAAGAGTAAACCAAGGAGAACTGAAAGCATCGTAAACTTGAGAGCGTAAAAAACTTCCTAATACGTAATATAAAAGGCAGCCCGTCCTAGTTTCAAATACTATGGACATACCGTCTTGTGAGAGGAAGTTAGGACTTCGGAGGCTAGCCACTGTCATCTGCACAGGTAGTAAGCTGCGTGTCAGTGGAGGATAGCTCGTGTTATATCTCGGTTAGCTTGCAAAGTATGTAACCCAACCACCGTCCCCCATGGCTCAGGTTGTTGGCTAGTAGGCGTCAGTCTCTAGTGGTCATGGATTCGATCCCCAGTAGGGGACCGAGGGTACGCGCACCACTGAGGAGCCCCAACAGGGCGAAACGCGTTTAGTGCTTTTTCGGATGGTGGTTGAGGTATGTGGCTTGGGAGCATCTGGGAGGAATACAGCAAAATTACAACCAAAATCCTCTTACTCATAAGTAGCAAAAGAAGAAAGTTTCACAAACGTGCGTGTGTCTCGGGACAAAAAGATATCGAGGAGCTTGATGGTGGATGATCAAGGTAGTTGTCGCTCACAGTCAGTGTGAGGTTGGAATTTATAAGAGACTTTAATTTGCCTGCACGGAGAAAAATTATATCATTATTACATCTAGACGTGTTATGAGTAAGGTACCTGGATGAAGACCACTTGACAAGACCTAGTCCACGCTGAAGCAGTGACGAAGCCTAAATGATGGGGAGCATACACCCTAGCACAACATCGTCAACGTATTTGCATCCAACGAACGTAGGTAGAATGGGAGACGGTCGACAAATAAGGAAGATATAAAAAGTGGTAGGAACGATCCCTGCAGAGCACCACAATCATCATTCTACACACAAGTTAAGGATGAGAAAAACTGCAACAATTGTACCGCAACACAATTCAATTAGTCAACGGCAAAACGGAAAACAAAGCCTGAAAAATTATTTTGTTAGCTTTATTTCATACATTGGCAATGAGATCGTGGTTGGAGGTGGGGGTTAAGCGGGATGGGGTGGTTGTAAAACTCACAACATAGACGCCACTGAGGTCGGATGTCGGGTACGTTTACAAGTACAGTGGATTCCGGTTAATAGGACCAGCCGCTTATTCGGGCCAAATTCTGAAGAACCGAAACGAATCCTATTACGCTAGCCTAATTTTAGCCGCTTATTAGGATCGGAATTCCGCTTAATCGGACCAGACGATAGAAGGTGGCAGGTAACAGAGGTGTTAAAATCAAGTTCTGTGCCTGGATGTCTGGACTAAACCCACAGTTCATATGTCGGGAAGGAAAGCGGATCATTCAGTTACGGTAATCCGAGTTTGCCTTTGGATAAACTGAACTGTGGCAACCTTGAGGCACATCTATATAATTGGCTTCAGAACCGCCCGAAACTGACTGTAGTTTCCAACACTTGTAGGCGGAGCGAAGACATATATGCTTGTTCACATGTCGTTAACCGCTCGATCGATGTACTGCACGTCCATTGAGCCGAATGCCCTGAGCCCGCATTGCGGGCCTACTCTCGAGCACGGCAAGTGATCGCGGACACACAGGTCCGGCAAATCATAGGACAGCAGGTGGCTAGGTCAACCATAGAAATACCCAGGAGACAGACTCGAGTTCACCTCAGTGAACTGTGCGTGTCTTGTTGCATGTTAAGAAAATGCCACGACGGGACTTGACGTTAGCTGAGAAAATTTGTTTCCTAGATCAGATCAAGGAACAGGGACCAACCACTAGTCAGCGTCGATTGGTGGAAATTACCTGCTTGGCAAAATCTACAATATCGCGCCTGATAAAACAAAAGAAAGATCTGCGGGTAGAATTGGCACAATGTGAAGGACGACGAGGTACTTCCCAAAAACAGAAGCGTGAAGGCAAGGATCCAGACGTCGATGAGGCCCTTAATGATTGGTTTGCCTTTGTTACTGGACGAGCCGTGCGAGTAAGTGGCCCAATGTTAAAGTACAAAGCAGAAGAACTCGCTAAAATGCTGGGCCACGAAGATTTTCTAGCTACGGACGGCTGGTTGTGTCGATGGTAATCTAGACACGATGTAAAATTTAAGAAAGCACATGGTGAGAAAGAAAGTGCCAATAGCGCTCGAGCTGAAGAATGGAAATAAACAAAACTACCAGAGCTTCTTGAAAAATTTCCAGCAGATGACATCTATAATGCTGATGAAACCGGGTTGTACTATAGGGCTACACCGGACGGCTCCTTAAGTTACAAACATGTTACTCTCTCTGGCTGCAAAAAAACAATGGATCGCGTATCTGTCTTGTGCTGCTCAAACATGTCCGGAACAGACAAGAGGAAGTTGCTGGTTATAGGAAAATGTGCCAAGTCTCTGCTTTAAAAGACTCAGAATGGACAGTTTACCAGTTGTGTATCGTGCGAACAGAAATGCATGGATGAGCTCTACACTTTTTAAAGAATGGGTGAAAGATCGGGACACAGAGCTACAACGGCAGTCGACAAAAGTGTTATTACTTCTCGACAATTGTGCAGCACATTCAAATTTGGAGTTCTTGAAGAATATCCAGATGGAATTTCTGCCTCCCAAGACCACATCTTTGATACAGGCAATGGACATGGGCATCATAAAAAATTTGAAGACGTTTTATCGTTCAAGGTTGGTGAATTACATCCTTGAATCAATTGAGGAAGGCTTGCTGACCTCATCCTCGACGGCCGGAAAAACCAGTGCAAAGGTCAACATTTTGCAAGCGGTTACATTCGTGGCCGAAAGTTGGCGAAAAATGAGCAGTGCGACAATTCGGAACTGTTTTTCTGACTGTGGCTTTAAGCATATTGTCTCGGAGATGGATGTAGATATGGTGATTGTAAATGAAAATGAGGGCGAGAATGTGGAGCTGAAACAAGTTGAAAATTACGAAGAATTTTTGTCAATCGACAACGAACTTAAACTCTGTGATGGAAATGAAGAATGCGATGCTGCCATTGTTGCTCGAATAGTAGCGAAACACACGACAGCAACAGAAGACCATGGAAGTGATGAAGATAACCCTAACGTGTTGATGCCAGTCACAAAACAGGATGCAAGGAAATGCATTGAAACATTGCACCGCTATTTCATGCAGGAAGGAAATGAAGGTAGTCCTATTACTGCGTTACATGTTTGTGGTGATTTTGTGCGAATGCAGTCTGTTAAAAGAATGCGTCAAACCACACTGGATACGGTCTTCAAACGCTGAATGGAATTCGGTAATCCCTTTGTATAAAACTGTACTTCGCATGCTGAATATCTTGTAGGTCGTTACGAAGAATTTGTTTGTAAATTTCTTTTTCAGTGAACAAAGTTCGTTATAAAAGCAGTTCTTTTTTGTGTGTTTGCTATAAATATATGCCGCCAATACAGGTCATAATAGTAGTTTCCTATGTTATGTATAGCGCGTCCCATCTTGTTACATCGGGTAACTTCGGTTAATCGGACCAGCCGCTTAATAGGATCAAAATGGTCTGGTCCCGATGTGGTCCGATTAACCGGAATCCACTGTATATCTAACCAAACGTGTTCATCGTCATGTCGAAAAACTCCAACCGAGGACAACTTCGAAGATGGGGGGCTTCATTCCTCTTGACCAAGTTAACGGTTGGTCACCGGTTGCGCAAAGTAACATACACTGCGGGAATCGGAGTGCAAGCTCGCATGTGTAACACATGGCCTAGCGTTCGGAGCCTAGTGCGTAGAACACCACAGTCGACACGGAGATGTGAGTACAAACGGTGAAACAGCCACACAACAGATTGCGCTTGGGTGAACTCGGTTCTCAGAAAACGTATTGAGTAACATCGATCCATTCGGAATTCCAAAAGTATATAATAGAAACAAGGAAGATCCGTATGGATGTATTTTTATGGTCCATTGAAAGCGCTGCAAAATGGACTAGGTACGCTACTGCATCTAATAATGTGGTACACTGAATTTTATAGGCAAACTGATAGATATCGTCAGCAGAGATGGGTGTGAAAATGCGTGGCTTTCAGAACGTACACGCAATTAGGCGATAATTATGAGATCCCTTCCGATTTTTGCTTGAATACCCCGTCTTGCTCATAATGAACATTGGGTTATCAACTAACGTTAAATGAGGATTTAACGAGTCTTGCGAAATGATGATGTTAAGGATAAAATTGTGTAATTTACTCCTTCGTTCTGCGAGTTTACATGAGAAAGCATGCATACAAGGTAAAATTGATCTGTGCTCTTTTCTGGGCGCAGTCGCAAACAACCAAAAAATATGCTGTTCATCCCATTAGCTAAAATGGTGACAGACAGTAAGTGAACCGATGGTTACAAAAGCATGTTAATTACTACATAAGACGTACCGAGCTCCCTGGGGAGGAATCCGCATCGGAAAGCACAGGATGATAGAGACTGAAATAGCGCCGGTAACCATTCACCGCGAGCACAGTACCCACACAATTGGAGGGATTGATGAACACTGTGCCCGGACCCGGCGGTGGATCACTGGGACCTCCGCGAATTCTCACAGGCATACCGGACCGTGCATGTTGCAGTAAAGATGCCAGCCAGCCAGCGTAACGGTCGAGAGATAACAGAGCACATTGAACACGTGCGTTGCTGAAAAACCAGCGAAAGTGAGTTGGGCCGGTGGGTGAAATCAAAGCAGTGAGCAACGAAGGTGTTGACGTGATGCATGTCGGCAGAGGTACACATAATGCGGATCAGTACAACTGTGTGGAGTCGGCAACAATCAGATTGAGCAACGGCCAACCATCACCGAACATAAGTGTGTGGATTGGCCGTCAGCCGCTTACGTGCGAATATTGGTGCATTTGCCTCGATGTGTGATGCGCCGTTGTCTAAACGACATAAAAGCAAAACAAAGCCAAGAATAGGAAAAACCTGTAACGACGGTGTTTCTAATGTAAATACTTAGGGGATGTTCAGTAATTAAACAGCGACGTGACACTTACACAACATGAGCCGTCTTGGATGCAAAGTTGGCACACAGCCGGCTATTCTGAGTGGAATTTTCGCCACGGACGCAAAGAACGAAAAGCTGATGTCCTTTTGGAGCGTTTACTATCAAACGGTCATAAGTGAGCGGATTGAGACTGACTACGTTGGCTGGAGTGATTCGACGAAAACGGCTGGAAACAATAAATGAAAACAAAAAGCGTCATTGGGAAGGCAATCACATAGAGATAACTCAGGGCAAAGATAGCGATGGTGGAGAGTGACAATGACAAGTAGAACGTGACAAATGATCCTGAAAGTGAACTATCACCGTTCAAACAATTCGCTTGATCAGTCAAACGTGAAGAGGATGGGAAGGCAGCTAACAAAATCTGCAGTAAAGGATAACTACTGCAATGTGCAGGTTCCACTGGCCCCAAGCTCCGTTATAGGCAGCTACGTCGGACCGACGCTCCGCTGCCATGCGACCACCACAAGTCGCTTGTGGGTTAGAAATGTTACGAGACCACAGGAACCTTCGCAAATATGAAAAGGTAACCTGTGGACTATAAGATGCCCCATACCAGTCAGTCACCGGCCGAGATGCTCCGTAAAATTGCAGATGCGAGTGTGTAGCTCTTTTTTCACACTCTATGGTAAACACGAAAGAGCTGTCGCATGGAGCGTGATGCCTGGATTTAACAAATATGCGGCTTTCTTCAAATAAGTCACCTAGTGCGATTGCGTTTAGTGAAGCAAAACCAGCCAGTGAGGGAACACCAACAAACGCAACTATTCGTGTCAACAAATAACACCTCCGAAAACCGCGGCCAGGCAAGAAAAGGTCAAAATAAACCGAACTGAGAAGTGCGAAAGAGAACAGCTGATTCGAAAACAGATCGAGATTGGGTCGTAGGAGGAGGAAAAGCTTAAGTTACTAAAGTACCTTTACTAAAGTACCAGTACAAATAAAACGCAAGCGGCAAAAAGGTGAAAAGAGCAACCAACCTCTCAGGCCCCGGCGTATGCAGCGGAAAAACAAAGATAAACAGTGGTTCGAAAGAGGTGGATGGGAGAAACACTATAACTAAGAGTTAGGTTGACATCACCGATGTGTGTAAAACCGCTTGAAGCAACCTGATAGTGCTGTACAGATGATAAACAGGGCAAGCGCACAAGAACAGATAGCAAGCCTCAACGAGTTATCGATAGAGAGGTCCATCATCAGCGACTTAGTGGGTAGGATCTGGCACAAAATGCTATGAATGGAGAAATCCTGAACGAAAATCCCACGGAGGTTCAGCACCAGAGCACTTCGTGGTCACCAGACCGACGCCAGTCAGCACACATTAACCAAAACATTTGGTTTTACAATTATAGTGATCCTATCTTTGACAGTCCACCCGAAATCGACCGCTGGTCCTCGCAAATCACGCTACCATTCAACCCAGGTCTCTTTTAGCCCGCGAGTCACCTCATACGTCGGGGGCTTGCAAATCCGAGTTCTCTGCCAGAGCCACAATTGCTCTTGTTTTGCACTTGAATGAGGCTGATGCGTGATACCTCTCCATAACCAGAAAGCAAACAGGAAGTATCCTGATGAATCCTCAGTGACCTGGCCTGAACTGTAGTAACGGAGGGAGCAAGATGTGCTTCCTCAGAATACAAACGCATGCCACACAGAACAGGTTGTGTTAGAGATGAATTAGGAGTGTGCGTAACAGAAAGCCAACCCGAAACAATTCAAACGAATGACTGCATGTGAGAAGTTCAAGTGTGATGACAGAGCTGGTAAGCAGTGGCTGCATGCACAGTGTTTCCTCAGCGCATCAAGGTGTATTCCCATCAGTGGTATCTGGGAGTCCACCAAAAAGGAGTGTTGTCAGCAAGTTAGCTTCCTCGTCTAAAAAGCCCAAAATACCGATAACCTGGGCATCGCGGATAACAGTGAAGTTAAGGTGCTTCTATTAACGGAGTCTAATTGACATGAAGGAGACAGAATCAGAGCGCTGACAAGCGAAGCTGGTTACCTTACAGCCAAGCAAAATAGATTGTGTCTCACGATGTCTGGCACACAGTGAGTTATGAACGCAGTTCCCGACATCACTGTGCAGATACCGAGTGAAACTTCCACATAGGGAAATTGGAAAAGTAAGAGAAAGTCTGCTAATGGTGGCATCCTCAGGTGTTCGACATCCTTAAACGCACACCATAAAGTCAACGATCTGACGGGTTCCTTCACAAAGTATATCGTCTTCCGAAGTTAAGACCGGACAACGACTTATGGCTGCGCCTACAGTGCACAGAAGGAAACACCGCCGGACAAGGTGAATTGATACCGGAAAGCAAAACCAAGTGAGGTGGATAGAAGCACACCACCATCAGCGCTGTCATTGCAACTGTTATTCATGGGTAAAGGTACGTTTTGTTATAGAGAACAGCGGAAATCAAAAGGTAAGTTTGTACCGGTACATGCAACACAGAAACAGGGTTGGACTTAATTGTACGGACGTGCTGTGCTGACACATGTACTTGGTTGTTTGTGGTAAACTGCGTGCACTTGGTTTGTTAGAAAGATATTTTGCGATGTTCCCGTGGGCAACCACAGTCCAAAACAAGTTCCGGATCACGGACAGTTTGTCGTTTCGGGTTACGTTTATTCTAACCCTAATACAAAGGATTCTTCATTGGTATGAAAACTTGGTTCCTATATAAAGTATGAGACCGAAATCCTAGGAAATAAAAAACACGCCAAAGCAACGAATCGAGTGGCAGAAATAGAAGTGAAAGTTGATAACTCCGGGTGGTTCGGTGACGGCCGAACTGTTCGCGGAGGTTGGCAATTTTGCTGCAAATGTTTCAGTACCAGTCGAGGGGACGTCGTCAGTGCGTTCTTGCGTAGCGTGCAGTAGCGTAACGTAGGAAATCCTCAGTGAGAACACTCGCAACTCTCATCAAGGTTTCCATACGCTAGGCTACTGCACTTTACGCAACAAAGCACTGACAATGTCACCACGATTGGCGGCGAAACGCCTACAACAACATTGCCAAGCTTTGGAAACAGTTCGACGGCAACCAAATGGAAGATGCATGCAATCGAAATGACGCGTTTGACAATTAAAACCGATTAAAGATCGAGCGAAAAAACAACGTTATCGTCTGACAATTCTAGCAACCTGATGTGATCCTATGCGAGGCTAGGGGGGACACGGTCAGCAGGTAAAAAGTGAAAACAAAACCCATGTTGCGGAAGATAAAAGTCAACCTTTTTGGCCAGCACGTTACAGATTCTCTCAAAGAGAGTAAGGATACAGTGCGGCAGCGGAACAAACAAAAAATAAAAGGTATAGTTCTCGACATGCGAGACACAGTCAAAATATCAGCCTGATCAATTGGTACAACAAAGTTGGATGGTAGAGATTTGTTATGTTCTCGATAAAGTGTTTGAGGTGCTCAATCATTTAAAAGTAGTAAAAGATGGAGAAGTTGAGAGTAGAAATAAAAGTAGATATAGCCGTCAGTTCAAGTAAAGTAATACGACCCTTCATGGAACCGTCTCCCGGAGACCTGCTTCCACACTTCACTTACACATCTCATCTGGCCATGTGCTGTTGTGGCTTAAAGCAAGTAGGTAATGATAGTTTGGACTCATTTTTTTCTTGTTGGCTGTGGTCATATGCAAGTTTTGTCATCATTATGGTAACACATTATAAATAAATATGAATAAATTTATGTGGGGGCCTTTCTAATATGTTAAGCTCTCCCCATCATACAGCTATCATTTAGCTAATTCAAGTCTAGTAGTTTTAATATTCGCTAGTGAGTTCGTGACAACTCGCATTGTATGAGTGCACAGCTTATTCTGGAAGCATTTATCTATCACCACGCGAGATTGGCCCAGTCCTGGCCAACAGTGGTAAGACAAAAATAAACAAATAGAAAATGGATGAAGGAAGAGGAACGAGAAGATGATGGGCTTCTGTCCGAAGTTGTCCGATATACAGCTTGTACAAATTATCACCCTCAGAAATGCACATATTTGTTAAAAGATATTTTCAGAGCAAATAATTGAGATGGCTCCAACAGTTGTAGGAGATTGGTGATGTGAAATCAATTTTTATGGCCCTGTGAAATGCCGTAGGTAACAAAATATTTTCTCCAGGGAGGGGGAGAAAACTGGATGCAGTGTAGAGCAAGTTTATTGTCGTTCCAGTAGTTTAGCTACGTTCGGTAAGAGGGGAAGTTGATTTTTAAAGAGGTAAGCATTCAGAGTGATTGTAAACATGGAGGATCCTAGTAGGTTTTCAGATAGTGCCCTCAGATGAATCCAGTCAAAAGCGAAGATAATATCTATATTGTTTTCGCAAAGCACGGAAAACTGCAGCACATACCTAAGAGGTGGGCTCCAGGAAAAAGTAGAAAATGATTAGTATTGTACAACGAATCTGAAGCAGTTTGTCAGAGAGGAACTCTGGGATATACTTCTGCTTTGGTAAGCCTAAACTTCATGGTAATCAGGATATTTTTTCTTTAGAAAACAGCTTTTATCTACTGATAGACATGGGGAGGGTAGCAAGGTCTGGCAACAACAGAAAGAAAAAGTACCCAGGTATTGAGGTTATATCCATCTTGCACCAACTTCGTACTTGGATTCATTTGTCATGGTAGAACGCAGTATATCAATCGCTGTTTGTTCTACATTTAGAAACGAGTGTATATCGTGTCGGAACTATATCCCTAACTGGATTTCATGTATCTCAGATGGAAGTCTGTTAAGTACTATTGAGTAGCGGTTAAGAAAAAAGTTGTCGGACAGTTTTGTTCGTGCTCACTTCATTATTACTTCGTTGTTGTTATTATTTCGAGTGCGATACATTGACAATGCTGCTCGTTGTATCGCTGGGTGTGAGGAGTGTACTTTTTGGGTAAGTGTATCAAGGAAGATGAAAAGGTTAAGTTTCATTCTTCGCAGTCAACATGGATCAAGTTTTGAGGCAATGCAACGGTCCATATAAGGAAGGGTGGTGCAATAGCCTGGTGGACGCTTAGTAAATGATCGTTGTACACGTCCCAGTGCCATACGATCACTCATTATAGAATTGCAGTAGATGATAGAGTCTTAATCAAATACTGGACGTGTTTTTATTTCATACATAGTGTTAATTGAATCTTTAAGTTTGAATGTTTTGAACAG